TCCAAATGGATATTTATTAATCAGATGAGAAACATCTTTGTGCTAAAGTTAGAAGATATATTTTTAGCCCTGATCCTAGCCTCCAGTTTTACTCTCCATACTTTGCATAGGAAGTCAGGATACCTAGGTCCTATGGGTTTCTGTATTCAGTTAGAGATTTACCTATCCTTGGTTAGTTTAGCAAATATTAATGCACCAATTTTAATTTCTTAGTTTTGATCATTGTTTCATGGCTATGTAAGTTGTTAACATTAGGAGAAGCTGAGTGAAGGGAAGAGAACTCGCTGTACTATCTTTGCACCTCTCTATAGGTCAAGAATTATTTTGTAATACAAGTTAAAAATGAATAGGCTTCCAAAATTCTTAATATTACTGATTAAAATTTTAAAAATATATGTTTCATTGATTAAAATCTTTCATTAAATGGTATTGTTTTCAAAAGACATAAAATTTAATCTCCTTTGTAACTGTTTAGCAGATAGTTCTGTCTCTTACCCCTTAAGGTTCTGACAAAGACTCTGTCCTTCACCAAACTTTAGTCAGTCTCCTACAAACTCTCTTGCTGACTAGGTTGTGCCTTTGGGTCCATTCTTAGGTTTGCCAAGTCCAGTTGTAGCAAGAATCTTACTAAGTCAGTTTTATGAGAATCCTTCCATGCTTGATAGCTGATTTACCATTGATATCTGATCAAATTCCTCATCCCACACACTCAATATATAATTACCCTGGCTTGCCTTTAGAAAGAATTATGTTCAGTTTAGCAATGATCCCCCTGCCTTTGATGTCTCCTTTTAGTGACTTTCTATCTGACCCCCTCATTCTGCTTGTTGGGTATAAATCGCAGGTTGTCTCTGCTGATTTTTGAGCTGAGCACCAGTTGGTTTCTCTCCCCTCTTGATATGGTTTGGGTCGGCATCCCCATCCAAATCTCACATGGAATTGTAATCCCCGGTGTTGGAGGCGGGGCCTGGTGGGAGGTGATTGGATCACGGGGTGGTTTCTCATAGTTTAACACCACCCCCTGGTAGTGTCATGGTAAGAGTGAGTTATTGCAAGATCTGGTTGTTTAAAATTATGCAGCAACTCCGCTGCTTCTCTCCTCCTGCTCCGGTCATGCAGGACATGCCTGCTTCCCCTTAGCCTTCTGCCATGATTGTAAGTGTCCTGAGACCTCCCCAGCCATGCTCCCTATATTGTCTGCAGAATCGTGAGCCAATTAAACCTCTTTTCTTTCTAAATTACCCAGTCTCAGGTTTTTCTGTATAGTAATGCAAGAACTAATACACCTATCATGATAGTCTCAACACCTGTTGCAATACTTCTAAATAAAGCCTTCCTTACTGTTATAACAAGTGTCAGCATAAATTTTTCTTCACCAGATTCTTAAATTAAGGCAGTACAATCAACACTGCAGCACACTCTGGTGGCCTACAACGTAAAAGGCATCAACCAGTTGGCAAGTCAGGTGACTCAGTGTCTTTTGTCATCTCAGTCCTCATCCTCTAATGCCATGGACTCTCCTCATTTCTCCAGAAGTGTTTCCATTTCCACATCTTTAATAACCCCTTTAGTTAACCTGTCCAGGTGTGCTCTCCCTGAGCTCTGAGCCTTAGTTCATTGGTTTAGTTCTGATTTAGTTCATGTCTCTAGCCTAATAATGACTTGTTCTTTCTTAAATTTCTGCTATACAGGTGGAAATCTAAAGTATTGTGGATATTTGATTAAAAGAATAGTACTGTGTAGAATTTTAAATTGACAGAAATATACAGGGTTGATGAATATATTCACCAGGTGAACAACGTGTTTTACGAACATGTTCGTGCTTATGATGGTGTATCCTCAAGAAGACAAAACTAGAATATAATGTGTAAGTAAAGTGGGGCCCAATTTAATTGTAATGTAACATGTTGGCATGGACAAATGGGGCATTTCAGTGAAGGAGACAAATGGAAACTGAAGAGAAAGACCCTGCCGTTATGTACACAGGACTCTACTAGGAAAACATTGACTGGTCTAGAAATCAGCTCCGGTTCTTATGTCCAGGTAAGAGGTAAGAGGTAAGACTTCAGAGCTGAATTTTCTCCATCCAAACTGTAGCTGCACAACTTAATAGCTTAGCTTCATAACTTAATAGCTCTCTGGTATTTCTTTTTTTTTTTTTCTTTTGTAAATGGGGACAATAGTAAAATCTATCACTGTGTGCTTTCGTCAGTGATATCTCCAGTGAATAAATGGGACTAGGTACGTGGTAGGCATTCAGTAAATGTGGAAAACGAGGGTATTCTTTTTTGGTTAAGTGAGCATTCATTATGCAAGTTCTAAAAACAGTGTCTGAATAAATAAAGACTTTTCACAATTTAGATATTTCATTCCTTTTTTGTCTTTTTTTTTGAGACAGAGTTTCACGCTTGTTGCCTGGACTGGGGTGCAAGTGGAGTGCAATGGCACGGCCGACTGCAACCCCCGCCTCCCCAGTTTAAGCAATTCTCCTGCTTCAGCTGGGATTACAGGCATGCGCCACCACACCAGGCTAATTTTGCAGGCTAATTTTGTATTTTTAGTAGAGATGGTGTTTCAAAATGTTGGTCAGGCTAGTCTCGAACTCCTGACCTCAGGTGATCTGCCCGTCTCAGCCTCACAAAGTGCTGGGATTACAGGCGTAAACCACCACGCCCAGCCTGATATTTCATTTCTCTTATTAACATTATCTTTATTATATAACTCTATTAAGTTAGGGAAGTGTCCTTTGAAAGTATCAATTCTCTTGTTTCTTACTAGAAATATAAGAAGAAAACAAATAGGCCTTCTACGTTTACTTATCTAATAGTGGAGAGTTTGGTGCAGTGAACACTGACCCGTTTTCCAGAGAGAATATTGTACTCTCAACAATGTGTCTTTCTGTGTATAAACTCTTGCTGTTGGTATATTTGCAAGTCGGGGTTCAGTAAATCTGAAAACAACTTGTGGACCAGGAGTAATTACTTTTCTTCCAGCCGATACTTATTTGCTACCTTTGACCTACATCCCTTCTACCATTTTGCTTCTGCTCTTTCCCACCCCTTAACCTGCACCATGTTTGTCAGGCTGGTCTCAAACTCCCGACCTCAGGTGATCTGTCCACTTTGGCCTGTCAAAGTGCTTGGATTACAGGTGTGAGCTACCGCGCCCGGCCACTTGCGTTGTCTTTTTGTCCCCATTCGTTAGGATGCAAAAAGTGACAACTTTTGCTTTCTACAGAAATGAAATGAGAAAGAAAGGTATCTGGTGTCTGGCATGCTATGGAAAACAACTGTCAACTTATTTATGTTACTACATTTACATCCTATTATGTGCGTTTAGGACAAAGATGGTTTCCTTTGGTTTACTAGGAATCAACAAAGAACCTCTGAAGGTACTTTGGAAATTTGAACTTTCATGCCAAAAATTTTTTTTAATCAAACTGAGAATGTTTTTTCAATTGTGTATTCTCATTGCGTATGATACTACTCTCAAGGGTGTAGAAGTTAGTTCTTGGGAAAGGGAACAAATCTTACATAATTAAATGGTTTGTGGGTCTTCAAAGCTCAACCCTATTTAACAAAATCTTATTCCTTAGTTTTTTTTTCTTTCTCCATTGGGTTTACTGACCTTGAGTTCATGGACGATACATAAGAGGTATAAAAGTTCAGCATTACACACCTGTGAATAATGGGTAGCTGTGTTTGGAGTACTTTCCAAGGTTTATTAGAACTAAAAGTCATATCATGAGAGGTGTTCTCTGCATACATATGGTTTGTCACTGGCCATCTTATAGATATTGCTTATGTTTGATCCTTAGCATTTCTCTCTGTGTTGTGGGCTTTGAAATGAAATATAAATAATTTATATTTTAATAAGTCTACTGAAGTTGTTCAACCCATCAATATTTAGGTCAAGCATTGAAGAAAAAACTCTTGACAATATCTAGGTGAGTATCTAGCAGCTAGTGAAGTTAAAAATTTTCTGACA